TACTGTGGACAAAAGGCCCCGTGATCTGCTTCTGTAAAGATTATAGCCAAGAAAACTCCATGGAATCTCTATGAAACAGTCTTACTCTATAACACATACAGTCACAATGACTTGAAATTGACATGATGGCAATGGGTTTTGGTTTTTTAAATAGAAAGAGAAGGTATAGTGGATTAAATGATGACCTCTAAAAAAGATATGTCTACGTCCTCATCCCAGGAACCTGTGAATGTGGCTTTCTTTGGAAAAATGGGTCTTTGCAGGTGTAATTAGGTTAATAATTTTGAGATGAGATCATCTTGGGTTATCCAGGTAGGACTTAAATCCAATGATGTCCTTTTAAGAGACACACAGAAGAAAGACCCACATAAAAGCAGAGAAGGCAATGTGACCATGGAAGCAGAGATTAGACAGAAGAGTCCACAAACCAAAAAATGCTTAAAGCTACCAGAATCTGGAAAAGGCAAGTAACAAGTTGTCCCTTAGAGGTTTTGGAGGAAGGAGAGTAGCCCTGCTTATCAGGGGGCCTTGATTTCAGACTTTTGGCCTCCAAAACTATGGGAGAATACATTTCCACTGTTTGAAGTCACCAAGTTTGTGGTACTTTTTATGGCAGCCCTAGGAAACTAACACAGAAGTTTAAAGGCTGGAGCTCTTAGAATTATTTTGTGAATTTGGGGGGCCCAAGTAAAAAGTGGGACAGAAGGCTCAAGAAGGTAATTTGCTGTATGGAAAATGAATTTGCTCTATAAATTTGCATCCAAATCACAATAATAATAAAAAAAAAGGTAATCTGACCTTATGCCTTGCATTCTATGCTGCAAAACCAGCATTATTTAAGTTCCTGAAGAATGGAAATGTTGGAAGTATTTCAAAGGAGGTGGGGTACTTAAGTTTGTATGTCAACTTGGCTGGGCCTGGCTGAGTGGCTAGGCAGCTGGATGTATTCCCCATGATGAGACTGGTAATCAACTTCATGGTAGAATCTGTCTGCTTCCTATACATAAGGAGAAGTCTTGGGAAACAGTCTCTAGCTTATGGCATGCCTGAACCCTGCATGTAGTCGTGTCATTGTTCAGCAGCCTGCCATGCTCTGCTGACCTTGTGACTTTCAATAAACTTGAATTAATGGCCTGCCATGTGGTTTGGTAACATCAGGACTGTGCCTTTTTACTTGTAAACTTTGGGCTTGTCAGCCTCAGCAGCCAGCAGCTTCAGTGGGCTGGGAGCAGGAGACAGAGCCGAAGCCCAAGATTGAGGGGCTTTCATCCAGCCTCTAGAGCCCGGGACTTTGAACTCAGACTTCTAGTCTCCAAAATTGTAAGAGAATAAACTCATGTTTGAACCATACTATTTGTGGTATATTCTTGTCAGAGTGGTACTAGGTAACTGAAACAGGAGCCCTCTTGGCAAGGATATGGTTTTCTCATGATCAATGCTGTATATATATAT